TTTTTTTGCTTGGGGCGGCAGAAATGCTGGAGCCGGCCCTGCTCTGAAGACAGCCAGCCATGTAGCTTTTACTTTATGATGATTTTAGAAAAGTCCTTACTTCTACTCTCCTCCCGTCCATTTACCCAGTACTGTTTTATCAGTCTGTGTTCCCACAGTGCCACCTTCTGGCCTCCTAGCAGCTTTGCTTCTAAAATCTTCTCTAATGCAGCCTTCAAATGCTGGCTGTATCCCATATGTTGTATGCAAACCTGTGCCATCATGGATAATCTGGTGATTGGTAATCTGGCAAATATGGTCATTTTCAGAGTTAAAAATCAAAGAGCAGCTGGACTCTGATCATCTTTGGAGAGACATGGTGGGTGAGGTCATATCTTTGATTGGACCAACTTCTGTTGGCGAGAGAGACAAGCCTCCGAGCTTACACAGAGCTCTCCTTTGACATTTCAGTCTTTTCCAAGCACTGCACTATCTTTGCCAGCCAGTGGGAGTAGAGCTGCCTGCATCTGCCACACGAGGCTAATGCTAACGTTAGCTGAACTCACTATCTCTCTGCTCTCCCCACCCCAGTCCAGAGCTAGAGTAGGTGAGACCCCTAGATCCCATCTGCAGAGGACAGTGCTGAGTGCAGCGGCCTGGTTCAGTGTTTGTGGGATGTGCATGTCTTTCTCCTGCTTTAGGAATGGAGTTTTCAGGGATGGTGATGGAGACTGGAGCGAAGGTCAGCACAGTGCAGGCGGTAAGTGAGATGTAGTGGTGCTGGGGTTAGGAACAGATTCCCAGTTAATCGGGGAGTATTGAGGATGCAGTGTGGGGGTACTGTTTAAGCCATCTGCACTATAGCATCTGCGAAGTTGTGAGTTCTGCTTGATGGGTTGGAGGTGTGTGCGGGAAGGTGGTAGTATTGCAAGTCCCATCAGAGAGAGGAATAAGGATCTGGAAAAAGAAGCAAAGGTGGGAAGGGCGGCTCGGGGGGCGGGAGGTGTCTGATTAATGCAATTGCTGCCTGAACTGTTATCAAATTTAGTTTGTGCTGCTCAGGTCCTTCGTGGGAAAGAAGGAAGATCAAAGACTTAATCCAAAGAAAGGGGTGAGGTCAAGTGATTGTTCTTCTCCTAACACCTGTCCACTGGTGATTTTTCCGGCAGGGAGACAGGGTAATTGGTGTGACTGGCACGAGTGCAATGGCTGAGGAGTGTGTAACTGATCAGAAGGTAACTACAATTTAAATATAAATTTGTCTTCCATTATTGCAAAAGGTTTTATGTCTCATGTTGTTTAGTTTTTGGCTCCTGGGAGATCTTCCAGTCTGTGCCTTTCTTTTTGATGTTTGTTCTCCTGCCTTCATTGCCATGGGCTGGGGTTTGCTTTGGAGAATCCTTGAAAACACGGAAAGGGCTGAAAAGAAAAATTGCATTAAAGCTTATTTGGATGAAATTAATGGTTTCACATAGTGTAATGTTTAGGACAGTTTGACAACATGCTTCTGTATCATGTTCAAAGTGCTCACTAAAGCTGTTGGAAAAGACAGTATTTCATCCTCTATCCCTCTACAGGATTAAGAGTGTGGCTCTGTCTATCTCCTCATGTAGATGCTGTGGCCAATCCCAGAAGGTGTTTCTTATGAAGAAGCTGCGGCATTGCCTGTGTCTTATGGCACAGCCATTTTGGCCCTGGAACATAGAGCACGCACGCAGCCAGGGTAAGTGATCAGAGGAGTCCAAAGCATGACATGTGTCCAGCAGTAATGATACTTAGCCCTTGCAGAGTGCACTTCATTTGCAAAAAATCAAACATCATATCTCATACGTAGAGCTGGTTGCAATATTTTCAACAAAACTTTTTGGTCATTGGAATATACTGTTTTGTCAAAGTCTAAATGTTTCATGGAGACCTATTGATTTTGATGGAAAAGCTTCTGAGATCCAGGGTGGTCTCTCTGCTCACTTCTAGAGAGAGAGCGACCCCCAGATCTGAAAACCTGACCTTTTCAATACAAAAAGACATTTTGACATAATTCCATTTAACAAAAACGCTTGAAAGGTTTTTGCTTGTGTTCTGTATTGGAACGAAAACAAATTTCAAAGTCTGGAAGGTTGTCACGAAACAGAATTGTTCTCCAGCCAGCTATACTCATAACATCTAATCTCCCATATTAGGCACACATCAAAATAATGTCGAGGCACTCAGTAAACTTGTTAAGTATTATTATCATTGCCGCTTTGTAGATGGGGAAACAAAGACATAGAGGAGGTCTTGTGGCCAAGGTCATGCCGTATGTTAGTGATGAAGCTGGGAATCTCATCCAGGTATTCCTGGTTTCTAAACTCTGCTTGGATCACTAGATCAGGCTGTCTCTTTGTCCTGGGGGGAGTGAGGCTGCTATGTTTCCCTGGCCCCTGATTCACAATGAGTTTGACAAGAGTGTAGTGGAAATTAATGGGCATTGTGTATATGGGTGAAGATGTGTGTTTCGTTAAGTGTCAGTGTCCACACCGAGAGTGAGGACCACAAAGTAAACCAGAACTGGATGACAGGTTTCAGAGTGGTAGCCGTGTTAGTCTGTATCAGCAAAAAGAACGAGGAGTACTTGTGACACCTTAGAGACTAACACATTTATTTGGGCATAAACTTTTGTGGGCTAATCCGATGAAGTGGGTTTTAGCCCATGAAAGCTTATGCCCAGATACATTTGTTAGTCTCTAAGGTGCCACAAGTACTCCTCGTTCTTTTTGCAGAACTGAATGCTGAATCCACCGTGAGGACATGTGAAGCAACACTCCTGAAAAAAAGAAAGGACTCAGATCTGCATCCATTAGTATTTTATGGGAAAATACTAGGATAGAATAATAGCTGCTAGGGATGGAAATGACCTGTTTTGACAGACAGCCCATCTCCCTACCCCTCCCAGCTAGGGCAGATCTATTCTTTACAGTATATTTTCCAGTCCTTTGTCTAGTTTTTTTAAATGTCCCAAGTGATGACATGTCTGCTGCTTCCCTCGGGAGATTATGCTGCTGTCTGGTTTCATGGGGTGTGCTCAGTGGAGGGCTCACTATGCTAGGCTTTGAGTCCCAGTCTGTGTTTCAGGGTTTTGTCTGTGGTGGCTGATTATAAGGGCAGTGGTGCATAGTTCAGTAGTGGAGGGGAGACCCTTCCAGGCTGACATGAGACATGCTGGAGAGGCTTGGTGGTCTGGGAGTATGGAGGTGTGAGGGGTCCTGGGTTCATATAGCGGGAAACCCGTCACAGATATTGATGGTACCTTTACATTTATGGAGAAATGATAGTTTCAAGGTTAACACTATACTGGGACTTTGTGTGTGTGTCTCAGTTTTTTCTCTGCCACAGACTGATTGTGTCACCTTGGGCAAGTTACTTAATCTTTGTCCCTCCATTTCCCCCTCTGTAAAATGGGGCTCATTCCCTACTTCAGAGGGATATCATATAAAAATAATAATATTGACTGATGTATGGAAGGTGCTCAGATACTATGGTGATGGGGTACCCAGACAGAAGATGGTCACCTTGAAAAGGCAATACACTAGTTGACAAACAGTGTATGTGTTACTTTAAAATTGTTCAACACTCATAGCCTGCATGAGGGGTGCTTTTATAAACTCAAAGTACACAAACGCATTGATAGCTTTTCAACAATTTAAAATTACATATTTAAAAAAGCATTTTATACCCTTGTGATGCTCTTGGCAAAAAGGTGAACCTGCTGAACAGAGTGATTCTTATAAGCCCCAGAAAACACTGCATATTGTTGTGAAATAGCTGGTAGGGTTGTGCTGTATCCCCGGCAGGCAAATTGTGTCCAAGTTCAACCTGTTGTTTAGCTGAAAATTAGCCTTGCTGCTCAATACCCGTGCATGCCATGCATTGCTCTGTTAATTTATCCTAAGACAACAGCTCTCCTTTTGGATAAGTAGGCTTGTACTGTTACAGGCAAGTCTTAAGGGAAACATTGGTCCCTTTGGGAGCAAAGGAGACTGTTTGGGAATTTTTTTACTGCTGGATTGGGATTTGGAAGTGCAGCAAGTGACCTGTGGAGATTTTAGGGTGTGTATGTGGAATAGTGGGTTTGCCTTTCCAGCAGCTGAATTATAATGCTTTAAACCCCCCTGGACAATCTCAGAGCTCTTTACAAACATGTTTGAATTAGGCCTCCAAACGCCCCTGTGAGGCACATGAGCATCGCTGGCATTTTACAGATGAAGGGAACAAAGCCAGAGAGAGAACTGACTTGCCCACATTGACACAGGAAGTCTGTGGCAGAACGAAGAACAGCATCCAGAGCCAACTTTTGTGCCTTAACAGAAAAAACGTCCTCTCCCCGCAGTGTAGGTAACTACATTTCTGCCCCAACTCTGCAAACATCGCTGTTACACCTGATCTGGAGTAAATGTATATCTACTTGTACAGTCATTGAAAACCAGCAGATATTCTCTTATCAGATCACTTCACTTTGGAATGTAAAAGATTCATACTCGACGGGGGATAGGGTGACTAGTTTCACCCGGGTATGAATCGGTGTTTGGGAAAAGTCAAGCTCCCCTTACTCATGCCTTTGGGAAAGATTCTGGGAAAGAGAATACCATTTAAGATGGGGAAAATTCTTACTATTGAAATGGATCATGGGGTAATCAATTGCTGGAGTCTTTTTAAGCTGATCAAGGAGATCTTTCATCTTCA